ACTTAGGGTCCTGGCTAGGGTTTGGGATAATGGAGGCTGTAAATGAGGCCAGCTTATGGGGGTTAAAGTATTTAAATAAGGTGCAAAGTCCCGATTTTAGGGTTTCCCAAACGCAGTCCAACTCGTCGATTTGGTTTTCCAAAAACACGCGGCCTTGCTTTCCAACACGACGAGTTCTACCCCATGGACTCGATGAGTTGGCTTTCTAATTGAATGCTTTTCTTTCCTTAATCGGCCTTCTAGATTTTGAGTGTTACAGTTTTGGTCAAAAATCGACTAAGCGTATATAAACCAAAGTGTATGAGAGGTTGTGGTGTTGTAAGCGAAGTGATTAACGAAATTAGAACAAGATTACACAGGTGGTTTACAAGAAAATCCCTTGGTCCTTCGTAGGATCTCCGACACAAAACCTTGGGGGTGATAATGAGCGCTGCCTTGATGATTTTATTGATTGAAATGATTGATTATATAGAAAATGTAAAGAGTATATGTACAAATGTTATTGTTCTGCTAAGTCTCGTGTGTAGTGTAATGAATACAAGTGATTTATATAGTCATAGGCTAATAACTAGAACTCCTAAAATTCCGAGATCCTCCGAGATCAACTTATAGCTGTTTGTTGACTTGGTCCTCCGGGTCTTTTGCATGGTTGTGACAACTATTCGTTGAGAGTGTGACTTTGACTATTATTTCTGCATAGGTGAGAAAGAAAAAAGAATTTATGGCCATTATAAATAAAAAAATTATTAATTAGGATCCTGGAATATATTCGGGGTCCTGAGGTTCGAGGATCCTGATCTTTTGAGGATCCTGAGCCTTTGAGGATCGTTAGACTTGAGGATCTCAAAGTAGTTACGAGATCTTAACCCTAACATGGACTATATTGGAGTGGTGTGTTTCGAGATCAACCGATATGGAACCCATGGAATTTAGACATGTTTTTTTGGGCTTTTTCTCCTTCTATCAAGGGGTTTGCACATTGTCGACTGGTGATTAGCATTGATGGCACACAAATTAGTTTTGTACTAAAAACATTATTGGTTTTGTACCTAAAAAATTTTAAATTTTAACTACGAATTGGTTTTAATTTAAAATGTTGTTTATTGATATATATTAAAAAAATTATTTGTTGGTTTTTATAAGAAGTTAAAACTATACTTATTTGGTAAATACAAGCAAAATGTTACAAAAAAGTCAGATAAAAGAATTATAGTAAAAAACAGTAAAAAGAGTAGAAAAAATTTAAAGGCTAAAGTAAAAAAAATAAAAAAAAAATAATAATAATAAAAAAAAAGGTTAAAACTATAGTTATTTTGTAAATACTTTTAAAACCATTCTTATATGGTAAATATTTTTCTTTAAAAAAACATCTCAAAAACTCTTTTAATCAATGATATGTTAAAACATTTCTTCGTTCGAGACAAAAACTAAAACTTTTTGTTTAGACAAAAGTCATAAGTGATAAAGTCTAGTGTTGAAATGTTTTGATTTTTATTTTTGAATAAAAGAATTCTCATCGATTAATATTTTGTTCAAATTAACGGAATATTTAATTTTTATTAAATAAAATTTTAAAATTGGTCTCATGGTTTGGCAAAAACTATGAATACAATTCAAAAAGTTTTCGATTTGCATTAAAGGTTTAAAATAAAAAATTTATTGTGTTTTTATTTTGCCCTTTTAGTTACTTTTTTATATTTTCTTATTTTTAAAAGAACCTCTCTCTCTCTCTCTCTCTCTCTCTCTCTCTCTCTCTCTCTCTTCTCTCTCTCTCTCTCTCTCTCTCTCTCCTCCTCTCTCGCTCTCTCTCTCTCTCTCTCTCTCTCTCTCTCTCTCTCTCTCTCTCTCTCTCTCTCTGTGTGTGTGTGTTGTGATTTCATATGCCATTATAATGAGTTTGCAACTAATATAAGCAAAATCACATTTGAGCTTAATCACAGGCAATTTTGATGGTTAAATTTGAAATTATCTTAACTTTTGGCTATGAATTGCAAAGTATTTAACATTTTGGGTTGTTGTGTAATTTTTTAAATAGCAAACATTAAAATGATGATAAGAGGATTAATGTTAATTCCTTGAACAATACTAACTTTAATGGAAAACATTAATATGTTGATGTTATTTCAAGATTTTACGGTTTATGTAGTATAGGCTCATGTAATGTTGATGTTATTTCAAGATTTTACGGTTTATGTACTTTAGGCTCATGTGCCGAAACATAGGCCATTGTAATGAGTTCGCAGCTCATATAAGCAAAAATCACCAATGTTTTAGAAATCGGTTTTGTAGTTGAACCGGTATGGTAACCGGTTTCCGGTTCAACCGATTTAACCGATTCGACCATCGGTTCAACCGGTTTCTATAATTTTCATCTTTTTTCATATTTTTCTACACACACATAGACATCCACAATGTTTAAACATTTAAAATACACATGAATATAAGTTGAAAATCAATCCAACTACATTAAAAACACATAACCGTAAGTTTTACATCAATTCAAGTACATCAAAAATAAAATAAAGTATAATAAAGAAACAAAATATACTTTTAGATGAATACAAATGCATTAAAAAACTTTATAACATTTACTATGTGTTTTTATTCAAAGAAATTTAAATAAATATGAAAAAAAAATGATATATACATTAAAGTCCAAATAATTTCTTTGACAAGAAAGTCTTAAATTTTATTTTTTTAACAGTAAAGTCCTAATTACCGGTAATTTTTGACATATTTACCCCTTTTTCCGGTTAACCGGTAATTAGGACTTTATTGTCAAAAAAAAATTAGTTTAGAACTTTTTGTCAAATCGTAAATTAGGACTTTATTGTCAAAAAAATAAAGTTTAAGACTTTTTTTGTCAAATTCTTGAAAATATTTGGACTTTATTGTATAAACGAAAAAAATACAAATCGACAGTATATATTTCACTTGATAATAACATTTAAAATTTTAACTAGCCATTCACAACAACACTATATATTTCACAAAGCTTTTACCAAAAAATGTGATCAAACAACCCTCTAAATAGAAAACCAAACAACAATCCGAATCAGAAAATATAGAACTAGTTATTCAAAAAAAAAAAAAAAACCACTATGAAATTCGATAACATTTAACTCAAATATATGAACTGGTGACATAATTTTGCAATGTGCCTTGCACAACTAGCATCGGAGTGAGTCAAATCATTTTCAGACTTGGCTGCTAAAGATACGGTTGAATTACTTATGGCTTTAGCTAGAGACTTTCTAGGTGGATTAGGCTGTGGGAAACACTTGTTTATCCATGTATGTTTCTTTTCTCTTTCTTTTTTGACTCTATTGAACCCATCTGCAAGATAATAACACATACACTGAAATTAAATAACATTCAACTCAAATGAAACCAAAAAGGTATCAAATGTAACCAAAAGTTATCTTGCTGTGAAGCCACAAAGATGTACAGTAAACTAGAACTCCACTCCAAATGATCAGTTCACATTGATGTTTGGATTTGAAGACTGGATATATAATAGACAATTTGATAACAAAAGACTGATACAATATTGTGCAAGAAACTATAAAAATTAGAACATTGATATTGTACAGGGACGATCACAAAATAGAATCATATATGATTAAGCAATTATAAATCACTTCATGATTATGTAGGAAACGATTCCAAATCAGTTCACAGTTCCAAATTCGTGCTTTTGCAAACTAGATAAGAGATGCATTGATACAAGTTGCAATTGTACTGGGAACGATCAGAAAATTGAATCCATGATTAACCAAATCAAAATCATTTCATGATTTTAGAAGAAACGATTGTAAATTAGTTCACAATTCCAACTTAGTGCTTTTGCATATAAGATAAGAGACACACTAATACAGGGAAACGATTAAAATTAGAAACAAAATCGCAATTGTAACAAAAATTAGCGTGTACCTATGAAGCAAGCGTGAATCAGTTGATGAACGACGGCGGTGGAGTAAGCCGGAGGCTGCGGAGACGGTGAAGCAAGCCCAAGGCGGCGACATGGGTTATACGTAGGGAAGGGTTTTAGAGTAGAAGGGTAAAAAAATGTAAAATATTGAAAGGGTATAATTGTCCATTCGCATAAATTTGTTGTGTATCACAAAATCTTGTAAAAGGCTGAAATTCTAAAAATTTGGAAATTGATGATGGTCATGCGTAACTGAAGCTCTAACATATTATTGGGAGTTCTCATGTCCAAATTGCAAGAGTTAAATACTTGTGATTTTATGAATGACGATTATGAATTTCATGAAAATCAAGTCAACTACATTATTTTATGGTCAAGCATCTCAAGATGGGGATGAGCTTAGGTGCAAAGTTAAACATATATTCTTCAGGAAGCAATATATACGATTTCAGTATATGAATGTGAAAGTGAAATCACTAAAAAACCTATGAAACCTATTTATTTCAAAATTAAAAATACATTATTTAAGATTATAAAAAGATTACCATGAGCTCCAATCTCTGGCAAGTTTTCAGAAAATTATAAGCCCGAATCTTCATGATCATGTGCAATATTTAGAAGGAGAAAAGATAAATGGACTCTACAACAAAAATATAGACAAAAAATTCTTATGTTAAGTAGAAATACCTTGTGGTAGGTTACTAAAGCTTGAAGCAATCTATGTCATTTAACATTTAACAAAACATATCTAATCGATTACATTAAGGTTAATAAAAATGTGAGATTTATCATCATTAACGTTAAACACATTCATCTCACAGCTATTGTGCATTTAACTAGTCTTGCAATATGCCAATATCATCCTCAATTGCTTGCTCCAGAATTCATCAGTTCTTGTTTTTTCATTATGTTTGTCCTCGATTTATGTCAAAAACTATAACAATCGGACCTACCAAGCAAAAGTAGTGTTTCCATGAATGAATTCACAGTGGAGAATTTCCTTTTCCCAAAAATCTCAAGATCATTGAAGTGTTGTGAGTTGGGATCATATACCACAATTTCACTTTCTTCATAGCCATACATACTTGTCCATTTCCATTATAGGTGTGCCATTCTTCCTGAATCCTAGTGGCCAAATTAACGTATGTCGTGCAATAACAGTGAATAGCTTTGTAAACGATTTTTGAGCACCATTCTCCATCATCCATACACCACAATGCTGTTTCTCGTTGTTAAAAAAACTATCTTCAAGCACAACAAGAGAATCCCTTATCTTAGAAATGGAAAGCTTAACAGGAGGGTGGCGAGCTAAACTATCTGGGAGATCTATCACTTCAAAAATATCATTAGTCAAATCAAATGACATAATCAGATTAGACCTCCATTGTATCCAACTATCTCTTTCCATCTGATGCGAACCACACCAATACATAAACCTATCAACAACTACGCCATACCATCTAACTCTGACTGATTTTCTCCACACATAGCTGGATGGACTTCTCCATTCCCCTGAGCTTAACGTATAAACCATAACTCCCCTAGGGTTGCTAATTTCGCTCTTTTTTTCATCCATTGGACCTAGTAGTGGAATCATGACAATTTTGGGATCATTAGTAACAGGACAAACCCCAAAACCAAAAGTTGTTTGATCATGCACATGATATGTCACAGGCACAGCAATAGCAATTGATTTTCTGATTGAAGGATTCCAAAGTACAACCATCCGCTTTTCAAAGTTAGAATGAGATCTCTCTGGAGCATAATAATATCCATCCAAGCACAACAAACCATTACAGCTACCAACTAAGCATGGCCTTTTAAGTAGTTTAACGGAGAGGGGAAGAGTCGGACCAAACCTCTGTTGGGGGAAAGTGTCATCGTCGACAATAGAAACATATCGCGCCTCCTCTCCTACCACATACTTTATAAGCAGTTGTTGACACTGATCTTTGCGAACGGTGTGCGCAGCAATAAAATAAGCGCTCTCGATTAAACACCTCCATGCTTTGCAGACAGATCTAAACTGAATCAACGATTTCACAGGAAGCATTTTGAGGATTTCCTCTTGAACATGGAAAGGAATTTGGCTGGACATCTTGATATTGGGTGCCGATGGGTTATGACATATGAATATTTAGGGTTTTTATAAAACGAGGATTGGGTACGTCTTTATAAGATTTTCTAAATCAAATTTGATATTAACGTCCGGGTTATTTATCTATAGAACAAACTACACGAATGGTCCTTTAGGTTTTGGTTTTTTTCCTAAAGTAGTCCCCACGGTACTTTTTTTTCCTTCAAATAGTACCTACGGACGATAAGTTGCACCCGTTTGGTCCCCGAGTTGGGTGTCCGTCCATTCCAACGTTAAGCTGCCCCCATGTGACTTGCAAATGAGGGTATTTATGTCATTTTACCGTAAAGGACCTTTTCTGAACATTTAACTAAATAGTTTTAACCATTAAGGTGGCGGGGTTTAGTTTCAGACATTGAGTTTGACACTCTATCTCTTTCCTCAAGAAAACCTTTTGATCATCCGCTCTTCTTCAATCATGAGTTCTTATAGTCGTCCGGCAACATAGTTCAATTAATTCAAGTGTGTGTCGAGGAAAAAGGTGCTCACATTGTGGTCGTTACGTCCACGCTACACCCAAACCACCTGAGCTACGTAAAGAATACGGTAAGCACAAACCTTGTAATGCCAGGTTTGACGAAATGTTGTACACATGTAATTTTGCTTTCCTCCATCAGTAACATTTTGTTCTTGAATTTTCACCTCAGGTTCTATTTCAAGCTTTTGCACATTCAAGATAAATCATGGGGGTTTGTTCACAAATACGGTATCTGGAAGGTCGTACATAGATGGGCTTGTGGATCACTTTGATTTTGTGGACAAGGATGTGTTTTCAGTCAATGATGGAGGTATAATGTTTTACCATTTCATGATCCCATAGACAGACTTGGATATTGGATTGTTACCCATTGGCACCAATCAGGATGTCATTCAGTTGGCTAGGTATGTGCATAATCATAAGAAAATTAATTTGTACATTGAGCATGGGAATACTAGAGTAGTGTTGGATAAGGTGTCTAAGTCCATAACTATTTCTGGTATGTACTTGACCCGGTTTGGCATGGTCCATTTGGGTTGCATGGCATAATGCACTTGGGTAGACTAAAATGAGAGAAAAAGGCACTTATGGTTTATTAATATATTATAAGTTCTAATATATTAATAATATTATTTAATTAGTATTGATCAAGAATTAATTTGGAATTAATTAAGTGATCAAAAGGAGACTAATTAAATATATGGGTTGATTGTGTAAAATCATCCATTCTTGTATAGTGGGCTAATTATCCATGGTTTATCAAGTTGGGCTAAAACCCATAAGATGCTCCATGGATACTCCATGGTATTTTTTAACCCATGGATCCAAGAAATGAAGAGCCATGTCATTTAGGGTTTACATGGTGTAAACTTATGACACACTATAAAAGGAATATGATAGCAACCAAAATTGGCCACTAAGCAAGAACAAGAGGGCATAGCCGATTTTAGAAGTGTTCTATTTCTCTCAAGGTTATTCCAAGTGTATTTGGTGTTGTTTAAGACATTTGAGGCATCACACTTGGGGTGCTAGGCTCATAAGGTTTTTAAGAAATCCAAGCAACTAAAAGGTATGTCTTTCTTACTAACTTTTATGTTTAAAAGTTCCCCGTGTATGCTAGATAGGTTATGAACCTTGGAAATCAATTTTTCATGTATCATAGCAAAACATAGATGCAAGGTTTCTAGGGTTGCATGTACACCATAGGAGTGTTAGAATGCTTAAAACCCTTCAATGGTATCAGAACCTAGGCTTGTTTTCTTGATATTTGATGCAAACTTGCTGAAAAACTCGAAAAATTTGTTGTCTGGACAGTGGACTCGCCGAGTCCATGGGGGGACTCGACGAGTCCAAGGCAAAATTCATCCTACTCGTCGAGTAGGTGCTTGCACTCGACGAGTAGGAGGCTCTGACTGCAGTTTTTCGACTTTTGCTGCTAGAAATGGACTAGAAACATTACCCTAAACTGTTTTGGTGTTTTAAAATTTGTTTTAGATGGTGTAATGGTTATGCTAATCCATTTACATGTTCTTATGAGTTATTGTTAGATCATAGGAATTATTTGCTAAATTGTTTAATGATTAATTCTTGATCAATTATGTGTTTTAATGGAATCCATAATTTGTCCTCAAGTTATGGATTACCAAAAGTCACTCTTTTAAAGTCCATTAAAGAAACACATAGGTTACATAAAATGAAAAGTCACTCATTTTATTAAACCATTAACTCATAAGTTATGAAATGAAATGTTTTGTAAAGTTACAAAACTTGCCCTCAAGTTTTGGAACTTGTAAAGTCACTTTAAAAACTTTAGTTCCAACCCCTAGAATTTTAAAAGTTAAAATCCAACCCTTATACTTTATAATATTATAAGTTAATTATATATATATATATATATATATATATATATATATATATATTATGTATAAGAACAAGTAGTTTTACCGTTAGTAGGCCTCATTCACTAAGCCGGTCTATAAGGGGGGTAATAGGTTGTTGCCTATAAAATGACAGCTTAATGGGTGTCCACTCTCACCCACCGCTTCCTTGATCGGTGGAGGGTCGTTAGCCGAATGGGTAGGACAATGACTTTAAATCCTCATTAAAAGTATGATGATTATAAAGTAACTAAATGTTTCTATAAATTCTCAATCTTAGTTACTTTAGGAAAATGTGAATATGGTGCTAACTCATGAAAATTACACTTTGCACTTTGTCTAAGTCGTTAGTGGAGCGCGTGTGGTTAACCGGCACATTAACTTGGATTTAACAAAGTAGGCAAAGGGTGGCGTAAGGTTTATCATAGATCGGTGGAGCGCGTGTGGTTAACCGGCACATCGGTTAGGTGATTAACATTACGAGTACCAAGTAAATTTGCATGGTTATTCACACCTTGTTTTGTGATCCTCGGCATCCCAGTCACAAAACTTGAAGGGCACATTCGAGATTGAAACATGCCATTGAAAAAGTTCAATGAATCTCAAAAGAATCTAGGAGTTTCAAAACCAATTAAAAACCTAATAATTTATTTCGTTTTTCATGGTGGAAATTGGTTAATCGTCATTCACCTACCTTCAAATATGTTACAGCTTAGATTACGGCATCCCTCTTCTAAGTTATAATATATTGTGTTGGGTCCTAGCCTTAATATTACATTTGGGTGTTTTATTAAGGACTCTCTTTATATCTAATCAAAACTTGTCTTTCTTCTTTTTCAGATGTCTTCCAATAATGCTGCTTCTGGCTCAAACCCTACTAGCTCCTTCTCTCTCATGAACCTTTGTGGGAGAGTCATCTTCGATGGTTCCAACTTTATGGATTGGATCCGGAATATCAGGATGGTCACTCGCTACGAGGACAAGGAATATGTCCTCGATAAGGAGCTGAAGGAAATCGATGAATCCACTGCTACTCCCCAGGAGATCGCTGACTTTAGGACTCATGAGAAAGATGCCACCAAAGTGGCATGTATCATGATGGCTACTATAACAGCTAAACTCCAAAAGTCCTATGAGGACTGCTACCCTTTTGAGATGAACCAGGACTTGTTGGAAAGATATCATCAGAGTGATCGTCAAGAACGGTATGTAATAATCTCCTCCATGATAACAACCCGGATGAAGGATGGTGAACCCATCCCGGGCCACATGCAGAAAATGCAAAGGTGTGTGGACCGTTTGCTGAAATTCAATGTGAACTTCCCCAAGGAGTTGGCAATTGACATCATTTTGCACTCCTTACCCTCGTGTTATGATCAATTCCGCATGACATACCACATGAACAAGGAGGAAGTTACCCTCAGCAAGCTTCAAGGACTTCTGAAGACCGCCAAAAGTGGTCTTAAAGGTAAGTCAGTTGTTACCACTCCTACTCCTACTCCAAACTCCGCCCTTGTCTTGGCAATCGGGAAAGGTAAAGGAAAGAAGAGGAAGACCCCTTCGAAGGGTACCAAGGGAACGTCTCTTGATGGCTCCTCTTCAAGTGCAACCAAGAAAGGTTTCGTCACTCCTTCTTCTGACCTAAAAGAGGCTAAATGCTTCTATTGCCATGAAAAGTCACACTGGAAGCGGAACTGCCCAAAGTATCTGCAAGATGTGAAGGATGGGAAAGTAAAACCCAACCATGCAAGTATTTACACTATATTGTCTAATAACTCACCTTATTCTAACTCTTGGGTCCTTGATACAGGTTGTGGTATTCACATATGTTCTTATTTGCAGGGACTAAGAAGAAGTGAGAATGTGGAGCATGGGAAGATAAACTTGATCATGGGGAATAGGAAAGCTTCACCTGTCACCAAGATTGGAGTTTATTCTTTGTTGCTAAGTAGTGGTTTTACATTAGATTTGAATAAATGTTGTTACTCGCCTGAAATGGCAAGAAATATTATTTCCTTTCATGGTTTGTACAAACAAGGTTTTACCTTTTCGTTTGATAATGAATTTGGTGGTATTAATGCTTTCTTTAATAATGTTCTTTATTTTAAAGCATTACCTTGTAATGGTGTGTATGAAACTGTGTCGGTTGTAGATAACCTAGGAAATAATGTGTTGTGTATTGATTCTTCTAATAACTTGGATAAAGCATCATTATGGCATTGTCGTCTTGGACATGTAAGCAAGAAACGCATAGGCCAACTCCAAAAGGATGGAGTCTTAGAGTCATTTGATCTAAAGTCAGATGATAGTTGTGAATCGTGCTTACTTGGAAAAATGACAAAATCACCCTTCATTGGTTCTTATGCTAGGGGTGAGGGTTTGTTGGATCTCATACATACTGATGTGTGTGGACCCTTCAAGACTGCCACAAGGGATGCTAATCGTTATTGTGTGACTTTCACTGATGATTATAGTAGATATGGTTATGTCTACTTCATCAGAGACTTTTGAAAGGTTTAAAGAGTTTAAACAGGAAGTCAAGAATCAATTGGGTAGGAACATTAAGATGTTTTCGATCCGATCGTGGTGGTGAGTATCTTAGTACA